GGCTTCATAGTTTCCTTCCAATTTCTGCACGCGTCGTAAATTAATAAAATAGACTAGAGCTCTGCAGCAGCAAAAATGCTGCTGAACAAAAGCACACAAAATGGTTTCCCAAACAGGAGCACACACACTGCTCAAGAACAACTAATCACTCTCTCACAACATTGCAGTAAATTAAACATGTTAACAAAAACAGCCTTCACGAATACTGTTATAATGTAGTAGTATATATGTATACAATATAAGTGTTCTTTACATGCAAAAAGCATAATTAGTGGGGCTTAAACAGCACATACTTTCTCGCTTTATTATACGGTTAGATTATATTAAAATATTGCAATTCACTGCCCTAATAACACTTCGTCAATCTCTTGAAAAAGTTCAAACTAGTTCTAATGAAGCACCTACATACTTCTACAAAAGAATCGCATTACACATTGCAGAGACAAGCAAGAATAATTTCACACAATGATTGATTACGTCCAAGTGATCTTCCATGTTTTGATTGAGTGTGCCATACTCACGATCAAGCCTTTTTAAAGGACAAAAGAACTATACACTAAACATTCTGAGATGAAGGCCATCCTTCATCACTTCTCCCTGTTGCACGCCAGACGCAGTTTTTACCCATTTTTGGCGCAGATAAATAAATAAAATAATCTATTCACAGCTGAAGCCTACGTTATGAAGCATAAAAAAATGTTATAAATATATGCCTTTTATTATTTAAATATTATGTCAATAACACAATGTAAACGTTCATACACAATTAATTATTTTAAAACAAATACATTAACACAACTTCAAAACACAAAACATTATCGTTCCGTTATCGCCTAAATCGTATAAACCCTAGCGTTCCGTTATCGCCTAAATAATAAGAATTATCAGAACTTCAAGTTGCTCTGTATAGAGACGCGGCGTCGCCATTGTCGATAAATACTCCTAAAACTCACTTTGAGCAAATGAAGCGCGGGAAATTCGAATACGTAATTTTGAAAAATTAAATTACTCACATTCTCAAAAACTGTACAAGACCTTATTTAAAGATCTACTTTAAATAAGATAAAAGTACAGATTTAATTAAGCAAAAAATCTTTATCGTTAATAACACAGTTTTGTGATATTATTTTTTTGGAATTTTCAAAAACCCACTGTTCACCAAAATTGAGGCTTAAGCACTATTATAACCGTACTATGGTCTATTTAAGATTTTTTTAAATTGAAACTTTTGAGAAAATAATTTCTGAAAAATTGCAAATCATTTGGAAAATCGCGAAAAATCCTCACATATTTTCGAAAAAAAACTGCATGATCTTATTTAAAATGCTGTCTTCGAAAGAAGGATTTCGTGGAGAAAAAATATATATCTTTAATATTATAATTGTAGGAAGACGCTAAAAACAAATTAGAACTTATGCAATTTGCACAAAATTAAGAAAGTTCAAACAAAGAGAATACATGTGCCATTTTTTAAGCATTTGTTGCTCTATTTTAGAAAAAAGTAATAAGTAATTTTTATAACAAAATTTTGCGCTATTTTTGACAATATAATCAAAATTTAAAGGTTATGTAAAGAACCATCAAAATTAAAATATTCGTTCAAATTCGCAGAGCCTTGATTTCGATACCCATTCTTATCGTCGACACTATCGGGCCCTTCTATTACACATGAGTGGCATTCAGTACAATATTCTACAATTAGTACAATAAGCATTTTATAAGATGACCATTAACGTAAAATTCAAAAATCACCTCAAATTGAGATCTCTCCGCCAGTAACGTTGTAATACTTGCACAGTTTTCACATATACCACCCTCGAAGTTTGTGAAATATTTGATGATTCATTATTGTCATGCTAAAGAATACACAGCGAACGAAAATAATTTCTAAGTAGATCCACGCAGTGGCATTCTTTCTCTCCATTTTAAATGAATCAAAAACTTGTTTTAAAAATCTGCAACGATGTGTAAATACCCTAACATTACTACCCCACATGTTGTAAAGACAAGTTAATGAAAGCAAGGCACCCGACAGGAAGATCCTAGATAGCAATAAAAATCAATTTTTCAACGATAAAACCGGGCACACAACGTTAGGAAAGAGAAATGTTGATCTTGATTCAAAAATCTATGACGTATTAATCATTTGTCTGAAATAAAATATACTCCCGTTTTTAAGACGTGTATTCTCACTTTATAGATTGTATTGGTGAACGTAAGTCCACAATTAGGATTCTAGCGATAAATTAACGTTCTGAGGGCACTACCTCCCACTAAAATCCTCGCTGCCTTATCTTGCAAATGATAGCGAGGCAACAAAAAAGAAGCAACACATTTGTAAGGACACAGGAATTCGCCAATTGTCAGCGCTAGTAAAGCGACCATGTGCTAGGGAAATTTAGTGCTCGACCAAATAATGACACATCAAAATTCCGCATCATAGACAACAGATCACCCATCAATTAACAGCAGCCTGTCATTAATTCACTTACAAATACCCTACTTGACCTATTACATACAACAGATGGGAAAAACTTGTTAGATATTTATCTGGAACCAAATCAAATAGACCAAGGCACGTTATCTTGGCAACGTCATGAAGAATCGCTAAGTCCACAATTTTTTTAACATTAAAGGGAAATTGAACTATAGAAAATAGTTTGCAGGAAATTCGTCGATAATTGCCACAGGTAACTCACGGTACACATTTTCTGAAGAAGTTCTAAACAAACTCCCCATACGAAAGCACTTTTCAGAAGTGGTGAATATTGGGTATCGCTGTTAAGTTCTTCATACTATATCTACATAGCAATGATATAAACATGCAAGGGATTCATCCCATTTTATAGACATGTGACAATACTGTGTAGCAGTTGAATATTAATTAGTTCAACCATACTCTAAGACGTATCGATGTAGACAAAATAATGGAAATCATTTTGAAATCGTAATTAAAATGTAACTTTATTTCTCATGTTTTCGTAAGAGGCGTTTGATCGCTTCCAAACGGAAAAACTGAAAATCACATAAGGGTGGCGATTAAAATACCCACCAGCTGGATCTATAATTTCATAGATCAGTGGAATCGGCTACACAAGCAGATTTTATATCATTACATATCTTGAAGCATGAAAATATCTGTTAAACAAACACGTGTCTTGAACACAAATTAGTGTAAAAAGTTCGGTCGAGAATAATAAACAACGCTTCAGGAAACGTTCACACAGCGTCTTTTCAGGAGCCAATTGACACTATTTTCCGATATATCAAGGCGGGAAACGAAAAATTCCAAAGAACCCACTGAAATAATTACAATGTACTCTCAGTAATATAGCTCCAATATCATGGCCCACGTTCAAATAACCCAATTATTGGAAACAAAACAATTTGTTTCGTCCAATAATCCAATTCACTTTCGTGAAACAAAAATACTAATGTTTCAAGGCAATTAAAAATAATTTTAAAAATATCACGAAATATATGGTAAAATGATTTTAAATATTAAATAAAAATGTATTTCCACTACGTCATCACAAAGCTTTTTTTTTTGTGATATACTTCTGTTCAGTTTCGTAAAACAGAACATGCTTGGAACACAAAAAAGATAATCGAAGGTACTAACGACAAATGAATATTGTTTAGAAAGTAAAATTTTCAGTTATCAATGATCAAAGGAAAGCATTAAGAAGCTTTCAGTCTCTTCAGCAAAAATACAGAGTACTTTCCGCAGCGGTTAATTATGCACAGCAATCCACACTACAGTCAAGTAGGTAGGGCACTGTGTACAGTGTATTCTGTTACGCCCATATGGCCATTCCACACGTCAATAGTATCACCTACATTATGGCTATTTTCAATGAATAATACAACGCAGATCCTCATTGATACCTTCTTTCACTACGTATTACTTAGCACACTTCAAAATTATGAAAAACATTCGGATTTCTGTGAAAACAAACAGTAGTAGTTTTAAAAGCCACGCCCCTCGTATTAACTACAGTGGAAGCTAGTGCGGGTATTACAATGAATCAATATAAGTTCTTTTAAAACTGGGGATGTAATTCATTCTTCCGGCCTAAAACACCCTGGGCAGAGCCGCATTCGATCGTCAAAACAGGCAGAGTGCGGCAGTGCCATTCACTCCACTGAACACACCCTCTCCTTCAGGCCACAGCAAGTTATTAATAAAAAATACTAAGGATTTTTTCTTAAAAATCCGAATGTTTGTTTAAATAAAATAGAAATAAATGTTAAGCAACTCACCCTTGAGCGAACGATATCGTGATGGCAGCCATGTTTTCGTCTTCAGTTACAACTTCCTACCACACGTGAAAATAATTACCTACAAACCAACACACACGCACACCAAACAATTCCCACGCGTGTTGACACTAATTTGTCGTCAGGACACGCGACGGGTAAGCAACGCGTCCATCACGGCTCGTCGCCCCGCCCCGTCTTGGTTATTACCTGCCCGGCATCGCTAGATGGAGACACTGCACACACTCACGTCTGCCTGCCCCGACTCGTCTCACCGGAATGGGAGCGGCCGGGTCAAAGCAGCCCGAGGAGGGATGGGTCCATTATGGCCGTGGGTTTGAAGCTCGTATTTCGTTTACATTCACAACCCATTGGTAGAGAAATACATCCGAATTACAATCCGTCCGTGCCCGTACTCAATAAATTATGGGTTTATTTATAATCGAAACCAGTTTCACAGCGAATTTCAATGATAATGCGAGTTGTATGAAAGATGCGCCGAACGTGCCAAGAAATTGGATGGTATAAATTTGTATTGTGGTGCCTACAAAATTTTATTTTCAATTTTAACTAGTCAATACTCACCCTCGACTTAATTCCAATAATTCTGCACTGATCTTCTGCAGAACTGTCTTCAGCAGCAACAATATTCATACACCAAGGCACTTGTTTCTTAGAAGTGTAATTAAAAAACTAAATTCCAGACTTTACATGCATTAATACACAAGCCAGCGATGACAGGCGTAAGGAGCAGCATTGAAAACACAGAATTGTAAAAACACTCCAAATATACATTTATTATATAAAAATAAGCAGTTATGAACAGAACAAAGTATGCAGCATTCCTTAACTGATTATCTATCCATCTAATGAAAGCATTTATAAAAGTACAACTATGCTAAGAAAATAAGGCATAATTCTCAGAGTACTCCATACTACAGCTGAGAAGTGCTCAGACCCTTGAGAGGTGGGGGTAGACATCACATCCAAAATGTTCTGTCAGTGTATGATCCTCATAAATACAAGAGAGCAATGACCAAATATACCAGTCTAACTGAGAAAGCATAATCTATAGCTGCAGGCACAAGGTCTCATTTCATGTAATCAGACAGCACCTCAGTGCATACATACAATCTACTACAAAGATTCCCTATTACCAAGACAAAAACAAACCTAGTTGCTCAAAAGATCAGCCAAACACATAAATCTTATGGTCTGCAAGTCCACTCAGCTGAAATAAGAAGCTCCCTGAACATTGCTTATATGATCACACTCTTTCAAGCTGCAACTTTTCAAAACTGGAAAACGTAAGTTGTTTCAGTCAATGATTAACCGTTTCACTAGGAAACCCTGATCTCTTGGGTTTGTGTAAGGAACTACAACACTAAACCAAATTTCAAAGAAACCCTGTAAAACCATCTGGAATAAATGAATCAAACCCAGCTCAGAGACGACTTCACTTGGTTTCATACACCTATGTGAACATAAAAGTAAGCTGTGTCCAATGAGCAGTCACGTAAATCTTCACTCCAGTAGCATACCCAGTCCTTCTGCTGTTAAAAATGCTACAACTAATTATAGCCTACATTTAAACTTCAAATGCTGTAAAATTTTACACCTGTCAACTCTGACAACTTTTGATGTAAGGACAAAGGAGACTGGTAAAATTATTTAAAAAAACAATAAAAAATAAGCAGCTAATTATTTCTGTTATCTATGGAATTAAGAAATGTAATTCACAGACAACTGTTTATTGTGACATGTAAGAAGATCATTACATCGGGTGATTCACAGAAATCATATGACATTTGTGACCCGAAAAATCAACTGTCAACAGTACTTTTTAACTTGTTTGTATTCAATCTACAGCACACTAAATTTGCAGGCAATCAAAATTTGAAAATTATAATAAAAGATGCAGAAAATTGGAAACCAAGCAAAGCATATTATTTGGAATTAAAAAAAATAAACATTTTTCAAAACAGGTTTGTAAATCATTGTGGTGGGAGATCCAACGTCCACATAATAGAAAACGAAGGGACTATATTGGTCCTCCCCCAACAATTACCGCTAAAACAATCACATTATGTTCACATAGCAGTAGGAATACAATATATATTTATATATATATTAAAAAAAATCACCTGGACCAAGAGTAACATACCCTTGATTCAAGTGTTTTAAGACATGATCTCTTCGTTTGAACATGAACAAACTCTCAAACCCACGTTTTTAAGAAGTCAGTGTTGATGGATTTTCAAAATGGTATAGCAATATTTCACTCAGTTTGAGTGAAAGCTGCTTCTGTTTTCAGATAGTCATCTCAGATCACCAATTCCTTAATCCAATTATCGATCTTGCAGTAAAAGCTATACCTCTAAATTGGGCCGAATTTTGTTGTTACATGTACAAAGGCCAGAGATAACTTCAAATGCTCGCAAGCCAAAAAACCCACTCATCAGAACCCACAAATGTGTGGATATAAATATTTTACAATAAAACAGCTCATTAAATTTATTTCAACTTTCAAATGAAACTTTGCCCATCTTTGCTCACATTTTGACAAAGTGGTTCAATTTACTGCTGATCATGTTCTACATTACATAATTTGACATAAAAAGTAAAAACACAAACTTAATATTAAACAGGCTCATTTGCAGAAACCTAAGTCATGACCATTAACCAAAATTTCAATGCATATCCCAGAGTCCAGTAACCACGCCTTGCTTGTTTACTTGTTCTAGTCAAACATTGGGGTAAAATAAGACAAGGGGGCCACAGAATGTGGCGCATAACAGCTGGTGATTTAGAATTTCCCCCTTCAGATGTAATGTCTCCAGAACTAGGGGGTTGGGGCTTTGGCAGGGGAAATAATCAACATCTTAGAAAGTTATATTTCAACCAAACATTAAGATTGCTTCTGTACATCAAATTGCAAGGTGGGATTGGTTATGGAATTTGGAAGAAAGAAGTGTTTGTTATTAAGTCAACAATACGGACAACTATGCTCGTGCTAACACATTCAAAACATGTTAACCAAATAAAAATTTAAAAGAAAAATTAATAAAAATTAATTGTGGGAGACCATATTCTTGCAATGTTACAAGTGGGTTTTTGAATCATATATGAGCAACAATTAATTTCACTTCACCGTCTTCCTCTTCCCTTGCCACTGTTGAACAAGACAGAGCTCTCTCACATTGAGGGGCCCGTTTGAAAAATCCACTTTTAACCAAACATATTGTCTCTGTACAACATGACCAACATAAGTTAGCCTTAAGATGAGAGGACTCTCAGTTCTTCACATCCCTCCCTCACTCCTGACTTAGCTTTTGGGGTTATTTATTTAATGTTCACATGACCCCATCACAACTTATGGTCAATAGGGTCCTGGGCCCCACAAACTCATCCACTCATAGGAAGCTACCCACTGGTATTTAGCTCCAGGACTGATACGTGTCCTGGTACCACTGCTGGTCCCCGCCCGAGCTGTAGCCGCCACCGTTGACGCCCGCAAGCCCATATGCATTGCTCAGTGGCTGTTGGGCAAGGGGCTGATTTCCCCAGGTGCTCTGGTAGCGACGTTTAGTTTCCCCCTGGTTCTGGTGACCCCCATCAAACTTGCGCTTACCTGCTGCAAAAACACACACAACATATGTGAACCATTAGTCAAACTATTTACCATCACCTTCCTGGATCTTTTCAGTACAAATTCACATGCACATATCATTAGAAGGTGATTAACACATCTTCAGTGGTATAATTATTTAGCATGTGCTTCGCATCTTTAATGGAACAAAGAAACATGCAATTCAACTGAACTTTGGTAAACATGTGAATTGAAGTAGAGCACCAATTTAGGCAAGGGTGATTGTCTTGAAATATGTGGATGTAACCTCAGGACACTTAAATTAATTGAGCTTTCCTCACTCACATATTTCAAGTCAAATAGGACGATTATAGTATTTGAGGTAACTTAGCAGAGGAACAATGCAAAACAAAAACCAATCAGCCAAGCCAGTAATTCAGCATAACAGAATATTCCTTCCTAATAATTATAAATAGCAATAGAAGTGAGGGTTTGCTAGCAATTCACATGCTACAATGTCAATGTCAAATTCTTTATCTCTAATACAACAGCCTGCATCTAATACAACCAGCAATTATGTGAAATATCTCCCCACATTAAAACCAAGATGGAAACTGAGCTGATGCCAAAGATACAATATGTTGAAACACAAAGGAATCAGCATGTACCTTGATATTGCAATCACAAGTTTGTTTTGTTTTCTACTGTTTTGTCACGCTGGCAAAATTTAATAAGTAAAAATACTTTCGAAGAAATGCAGGAATTATCTTTTGCACCTTGGTACAATGTGGCACTATCACCAAATAGAATTCACAAAACAAGGAGTATATCCTGAAGGCAAAAATAACCTTTGCCTAAACTTCTGAAAGTGAAATATCCCTTGTCCAGAATTCTTGAAAGCTAGGATGGCAGTGTGAGGGGACCAAGCATATGGGTAGTACTTAAATGCTGCGTTCCGAAACTTTCTACTAATATTTAAATTTTGAAGGGATTTCATTACCATTACCTTCAAAAATAAAATTTAAAGTAACACACTAGCGTGTCTGGGACATGATCAACATATGTGCAGGTAGCCGAGAGAAAACCCCAGTCTAAACATTTATTTTGCAAAAATTTACGCAACATATGCTGTTTCAGGAAGACTAATGGTCTGCCAGTCAACCAAAATACTTCCTGACCACTTAATTTAACATTTACAACTGTAATATTGTTGAATTTCAGCTAAATAACTAACCCTCAATTAAATTGTATTATTATTCACTTAAATTGTAAAAATACTAAAAAAAGAAGCATTTGTTTCAACCCCACAAAGGCACAGTTTTATAGCATGAATAAATAATCCGACAAAAAGCAGAATTAATCATTAAGTAATAACATTTTCCAGGCTATGGTCGATTTTTCACACTACCATACAATACACTAGTTAAAAATATCGTAATTTCCACAATTGAGAATAAGTTTATTAATGTTCTGTTTTCCATTCCAGCAAAGTTAGTCACATTTATATTCCAGCAACAAAACACACATGTGAGCTAGTCTACTGTTCACATCACAAGCATTGGCTTGAAATGCACACATCTTTAAAATTCAACAGGGTAATATTAATCAAGAACACATTATTAGTATTTTACATGCACTGATCATGTCTCATAAAAAAAGTACTTCTGTATGAAGTCTAATTCTTACTCACAGCAAGAAAACTTCTACCCTCCAGAACATCTAGTTCTCTTAAGATGAACTTATGGACAGATGTAATAACCTACAATTTCAACTTCAATTGAATGATGTATTAATCACCATTTTACATTGTCATGTCTACTCAAGACATGCATCTAATATTGCACACTATGTAGCACACATCCACAATCAATGTTGATGTTGCCCATGAGCATTATTCTACTACATTTTGTGTTATACCTCAATGTAGAGAAGAACTAAGTACACAAGAACATTTCAATGATCAACATTTTAATGATAATTATCATTCTCTCAGTACATGCACCATATAAAAGCAATGCAATGAACCTTCTTTACAAAATAACACTTTGACACACTTTTTTATATATAAAAGGCTTCATTGTCAGATAAACAAACCAAGTTCAATATTCCATTCATGAGCTTCCAATTCAAGATAGAAAATTTCTTCAAACAGGCTATTACATTACATTCATGCAGGTGCATTACTATTTTCCTGAAAAATTAATCCATAAACTCATTTCTAGAAAATTAACTTATGACAATAAATGTACATTTTAAAAACTTATTTAACATTGTTTTAATTTTGTTCATTTCAGTAGTTTCCAGAAAAACCAAATTATTTAGACAAAAATAGCTTGTAAAATTTGTGTCAAAAAATTCGAACAGAAACTACTGATTTGAACATGATATGTACATTACATTCTTTATAAAAAATATCTATCCTGTGCACACTTTTCTTAAGCTTAATGCAGTAAGGCACATTCTAACATCCAAATCTTATTTACATTTATCATGGATCAAATATTAACAAAACAATTTTCACTGTTTTAACATATTAACAATTTTTCCCTTACTGCATACAGACACCAACATTACATTACCAAATCTATTGTATATAATATTACTTTACAACTAAAATTTTTGGAAAACAATATAAATTTATAAAATTTATTATAATTCCTTTCAGATTTCAAAGACAAGGTGCATCACATCGCAAGCTAATTTGGTAGTATATTGTTTACACTGAAAACTTTTTAAAGTGTTCAGCAATCAGTGTCAAAGTGAATAGTAATGCACTACAACCCTGAAAATTTGATACGACTCAAATTTAAGTCTGTTAATGACAAATGATCAAGGTTGTATTGCATTTACCTACAGACTAAGAGGTGAGTGAAAGGAGGTGAAGATACAGACCATCCTCACCTGGTAAACTTCCCTTGGCGCGGGCCCCCCCACGTGCGGGTGCTCGAGCCCCCCCACGGGCCGCGGAGGCTGCGGTGCGTGCCCCCCTGGCTCCCCCACGGGGTGGGGGCCCACCTGCTCGGCCACGGGCCACCACTCCACGCCCACGGCCAGCCTAACCAAAACAGAACACTATTAGCTCAGCCATGTGTGGAGCTTTACTTCAAGTAGTAAATAAGCATTACAACTGAAAGAAGAATTAACTAATAATAAATATAACAAACTTATGATGAAACCAGACCTATTTTTGATTAGTAACAAAAACACATTGAAGTTCACTGTATGACCCACTTCAACAGCACAGACAAATTATCAAGTATAATGAATAACAACATTAACACTAAAAAACACAACAACAAAAAAATGAACATGAATGATCATCCTCAGTGGACATTGTCATGTGATGTTGAAGTGGTTCTAAATGAGTAGGCGGGAATTTCAAGCACAAACCTGAATCCCACCGCTCATGGTGATCTGAGACGAGTTTGTTTCCATGAGACCAACTTCCTCTGGATCCTAGATGCCCAAGAGTTTAACATGTAGTAAATATGTTTTTCCTACTCGCCTTTATTGAAAACCCTTCTGCATACAAGAAACTTCAGTCAAGCTTAACATCTAAACGTGTAATGGTCAACTTGCATTACAGGAAATGAAAATTAATATTAATAATAACACAAATTACTTAATTATTTCTAAAAATACAAGTAACACATGCCAAATTAATATTCTTATCAGTTCTAACTCTTTTAAAGTTTTGAAATAATTATAAACTTAAACATATTTTGAACATTTTATACACCAATTGCATGTGTTACATGTATAGTTCATAAGGGCTGCTATGAAACTTCTGATACCTTAGTCATATCAGTATAGTCAACTTAACAGCAAAGAGCAGGGTTATCCAAAACGAGCAGTTTTGCAGGGGGGGTTGGGATATTTGGGAAAGGAAGCCAAAAGCATCTACTTGCGCCCAGCTAAAAGCAGTAAGCTTCTAAAAGCGGCCACAAAAAGCAGAAAGCACAGATACTAAAGCCAAAGCAAGAGAAATTTTAAAGGAGTGTAGCCAGTTATATGCAATTTATTCTTATGCAGCAACTTTTAGAGATTAGGCTTCCCTCTTCAAATAGCCTAACCTTTCCTCATAACTGAAGATAGGAACAGCAAATACCATTCAGTAGACAATTTGGAATTATTGTAAGAATATAAGGCGTTAAAGATTTTACATTTGTACACAGATGTTTAACCTGGGCTATCTTCTTCAAAGAAACTTTCCTGTTCCACAGGAAAAACAGAAAATTAGGGTAGCATAAAGATGACAAGGATCCAATACTTTGTAATCACTGTCGCACAAGAACCCTCAGCCACAACACCGCATAACAAGGATGCATGAACATTTGAGGAAAAGTTAGTCGATGTTGAATTTTAACTGTAGTGCTGAGATGTCTCCGTTCCCTTTCCCCAGTACTTTTGGATAACCCTGCAACTAGACAGCAAAAAAACAAACACATTATCATATCTGAGCCAATACAGGCACACACATAGCCCTGAGGCATTTCATAATAAACCATAAAACCTAACGATTTTCACGTAGAAAATATTTTGAATTACCTTTTCCCGGCTACTTATCTCAATTTTGAGGCCTGCATCAATGGCTCAGATATGATAAGCTATTTGAATGTGGCACCGTGTTCTAAAGGAAATGTAGTTATATAGCTACGACATGTTAGTAATTGGCATCAGGAGTAACCACGCAAAAGAGTAGTGCACTGAAGAAATAATCAGATGAATTACAGCAAAGGATTAACCCTTTGCACCCAAGCCCCACATGAACTGAATTTACCAACCCTTTTTCATACAACACAGAAGTCCGTAATTTGAAAGGCTAGCAGGAAGCATAAGTACATTAAACAGTTAATTTTTGCATGGTCACAAAAAGCCCTGTTATTGAAGTCACCTCAAACTTGCATCCAGGGAACTCTGCGTGTAGGTATTTGACGATTAATCAGGAATTCTGAACGCTGTGCCACAATCAAACTTAGCTAGCGTAGTACGAATGAAACGAAAAACGACTTGCAACGATTAATAAAGTCGATCGACCCACCGGCTGAGGCTGCCTGCCTCTCCCTCTGGCAGGTGGTGGAGGCGGCGGATAATCAAAATAGTAATCCTCGTAACGATAATAGTCATCGTAATACGGATCACTGTAGCCACCTCGATAATCCCCATAACCGTAATAGTCGTAATCATAATCTATAAAAACACACAACAACAAACAGACGCAATTTTAGCCACGACGATATCCAATCAAAATGATCTTTCCTTCGGGAAATCGTCTGAATGGAATAACAAAAAGGCATGCCGGGAAAAGAGAAGTAAATTAAAATTTTCAGGCCAGAAAATAAATATCTAACTACGTAAAATTTGGTTTCATTTTAGAAAAATCAAAATTACAAAAAATTACTTTTCTAATATAATTTAAATAAAAATACAGAAAATGAAGTCATATCTACCACCACACTTCTACACCAAAACTTCCAACACAAGTCACAATGGACAAACATAACTAACATTAACTTACCTTTATAACTAGTGTCCAAAAATGCAACTCCATAATGAGGAGAAACATTTGTGAACATACATAAATACACTAATTAAAATAACAAATACACAGAACATGATGTATCTCCTACAAGGTTTGTTTTTCCAAAATACCATGCATAACTAAACAGTAGATTGTACTGAAAGTCATTATCCTGCAGCATTAATAGGAGATCTATGCACGTGCAATATTAGGTTTTCATATCATGTCACCCTGCCAAGTGAAATGCAAACATATGATTTTGTTTTGCAATGCTAGGAACATTTTTTTCTGAATATTCATGAACAAACCAGTTGCCCATGTTTAAACTAAAAATCCTAGGATTACAAAAACCAGTCAACTGTTTGTAAAACATGCAGGATTGAAAATCTGAACAATAACTGCACCTACTCCTGGCAATATAATCCATCTACATTATACAGTGGTAGAACTGAAACAAACCAAAACCATGAATACTGCAATGAATGCCCAGATCCCTTTGCTCTACTGGGCACTAAATTTTCTGCAGTACATGCTTCTCTTCAAAAGCATCTTGCATCTGATATCGCAGTTTTCTGCAACTCCCATTTTCCACTACAAGGTTATCTTTTATTTACTCTACATGTTTTTATGTTGAACACATTAACTATTTATTTGAAAGTACACTTGTAACATTTTGTTCCATTGTCTTTGAAATATGTAACTGCAACACATCATGAAAATAGACAAAAACTCATTCTCTATCAAAACACTGAATGCAAGACCCAAAACCTTCAAATTTTATTGTTTTATCTTCTCATCAACAGAAAACAACTGCTCATACCCTTAATTGAAAGATACACAAGTAACCCACTAGAATCTCAACACTAGTAATTATGAAAACCTGGCTGTCTGCTTCCAACACAGTTTTGAGATTTAGAATTAATTTAACTCTTCAGAAATACTGCCAAGAACTGCAGTGATGTAGTTGTTGCAAAAACTGATGTTAGAGATGCTTTTAGTTAATTCCCCCATCCCCATAATTTATGTACGTAAAATAAATTACTTATCCCTGCAAGCACTCCCTAACAAACATATCTGATGGAACCCAATGTATTCTTTACATTTTTTAAAATTTCTTAGAAGAATTCCCAATTTTCAATATTGACAAAATTATCTACAAATTCTGATCAAACATCCTTCAATTAACACTGACAAAATTAAATATTTTCAGATAGTAAAGTCCCAAAATATTTTTTAATGTATTTCGAGTAATCCACTCATCTTTTGCAGACATGCCTTAGTAATTGTTTTTAAAATAATGAATCACATGGGCTGTAGTTTTCCCCATGTAAGTACTAAATGAAGATGCTCTTTTATCTACCTTCAAATTTAGATGTGAATTGCACAATGTGTAAAATTAGAACAATAACTGGCACAGTAACATCTAATTAGTTCATACTAAGAGAAAACACAGCACAAAAAATATAAAACATCCTGCACATAACTGAAATATAAAAAATAAAGCACACTTAACCTAATATAATTTACAATATAAGTGAGCAAGCCATCACTTACCACACAAGCATACACACACAAAAGCAATTTCTACTCTCTAACAAAGGAACTCCTCATTTAAAGTGCAACTTAAGTTATTGTATTAAATCACAACATCGCTCTTTTGTTGGTTAATGAAACCTGAAGTGTAATTTAACCAGCAATTATTCAATATCAAATCAATTCATTGGAAATCATTGGTACAAAACACATGAATTTGTATTTTCTCAGCACTTTTAACTATATCCAAATATTAAATTTTAGGAGCAAGGATTGTTAATGTATTTTTAGTAAGCACTTCATGACAATTTAAGACACCAACAAGTGAGCTACATTGTGAAAAATACTACAAGATGGCAAATATAGCATGCAGAGCATATATGCTCATTTAGTGTTTCAGGAGCCTTTCACAGAGCTGTTGAACTTATTTTTAAAAATTAACTTCATTTTAACATTTTGATGCATTCAACACTATCCAGAATTAATGAATGACTACATTTATACAATGGGATTAACATCTTTACAGTACCAAGATAATTGGACAACAATTAAGTCAATAAACCTCGCCTACAAAACACATGAAGGTAAATCTTTTCCAAAGTAATTGCCTGTCCAAGGCTCACAAAACAACTTTAGATCAGGAGTTCCATACAAATTCAAAAGAAATATATTTGGCAATTAGGAACCTTGTTTTAAAACTACAATCTACATTCAATAGACACTTCTATTTAAAAATATTGTATGATCATGTTTCATGCAAATCCAATAACTTTATGAAGGACATGTCACGAAGGAAAATCATTGTCTTAAAATTTTTAAGCATGCTTTAAATTTAATACCTGCATCTCATTTCAAGATAAACTGAATATAAGTTTGTGCAATATAATTGCATCAGGAATCAAAAATATGAAATATTAGTTTATAACATAGTACTAAAATTAAATATTGTTAGTAATGACTTTAAGATATGCAAGATTATCACATCAGCAGCTAATTATCAACACTGAATCACCAGGGTAACAGCAGGCACCTACCATAGTCTCCACGTCCCATGGGTCCCCTCATAGAGCCAGCCCCACTCGCACCACGAGGCCCAGGCCCTCCAGGCCCCCGCAATGGCATTGCCCCAGGCATCATACTCGGATGAGATGGGGAACATCCACCCCGCACTTGCATCATCTGCATCATTCTTCTTTCCCTGGCTCTTAAAATTTCCTCTTTCTTCTTTTTGTCTGAAGGAGGTTTCGCAAGGGATACTTCAATAGCAGAGCCACCCATTTCCTTTCCATTGAGTTCCCTCATTGCCTGCACCAAATCTCAATTTACAATATGCTGTGATAAATAAAAATTCAAACAGAATAAAACCATGGTACTCACTGTAATAGCATGATCTCTGTCTTCGAAGTGAATAAAAGCATAATCCTTGATTTTCTTCACCCTTTCAACTTTCCCAAATGCTTCAAATGACTCTTTCAATTTTTCTTCTGAACAGTCTTGTGTCAGATTTCGTACATACAAAACTTTAACCTATGTAAAAATTGAATTTTCTTACTAAATTGTCACCAAAAACAATCAGTACATCAAGAAGGGCAAAATTACTGAAACCAACCTTTGACATCGTCGCCTCATCAGGTTCTTCCTGGGGATCAGCCCAATCAACAATAATATCACAGCCCCAAACTTTGATCCGCCCTGTACCAAGACGTCGTTTAGCAAGAGAAGCAGCCTTGTGAGACTCATACTCAAGAAAACAGAAACCACGATTCTTTTTCTTGTCATCAGGTGAACTATAGATGATGACCTCCGTCAAACCAGCTAAAGAGAGATAAATATATAAATTAATAACAATCCCAGCGTGTGTTTGTATTGTATTTGTATATAAATATGCAACTGAAATATGAATCTTAAAATGAGGGGAGCACGAGAAAAGAGCAATCAAAGTCCATTTCATGGATCATTTTGATTAATGTCACAGCCAAATTTCTCGCACTTTCAAACTACATACAGCTGGTAATGCTTAGAATCATTCCACTTTCACACCTGTCAAGCCAATAAGTACCAAATGAGTGCAGTTCTTTAATAGTAAAATGGACTTTCATAAGTTTTCCCCTACACCCATCCAACATTCCCACCCCATGCGCATTTCTTTCTTAAATAGGGAAGCACAAAATGTAAGAAGCTCTAAAGCACTGAACATCTTAAAAATGGGGAACAAGAAGATGATTTTATTATACTAATGCTAGACTCAGTAGTCAAGCACACTGCTTCCAGCCAATCTTTGCTTTAAGTTAATCATTCATCTCCTTCACAATTAAAGTGAAATTATGGACGTAAGGGAGAGGCTCAACTTACGTGCATGTTTCGAAAATTCTTCAAACAACTCATCTCGATCTCGATTCTTGGGTATATTCCCCACAAATAAGCGATGATTGTTATAAGATACGGTAACGCCAATCTTTTTGCCTTTTCGAATTTCATAATCATTCAGCTGTAAGAACAATGCGGAAGGAAGAAAGCCAATTAAGCTTGCCTGGAGGGTATATGTGCCTGTTTATTGGCTGGTCTGCTTGTTGAGAGTGAAGGTGGGAACGAAAGGACACGGAATGCCCTGCCTGTCTGAACGTTAGCAAGCCAATTTCATCCCCGTATTCAGAACCACTCCTTACCTCATGTTTAGCTCGAGCTGTGAATTTAATATACTGAGGTATGTTAAATGTGATAAAGGCAGACGGGTAGGTATTATGGTACAGGAGGTTACACTCCTACCCACTGCCCACCAGGACCACCACTTAGGGACATGAGGAAGCTCGTGCCTACGAATGTGGGGTAAAAACTGCTTTTGAATAAGGGGGTAACCAACTAACAAACTGAAAGGCAGAGTTGCACTCAACCCACACATCCCCAGCTGTGACTACACTACATTATAAACTTCTCTTCCAATTCACATTACCTGTTAATTTACCAAACTCCTCCAGAATCTCCTCTTTGCCTTTAGACTTTGGAATGTTGCCCACAAAAAGTCGGAGATTGGGAACACTAATGTTAACTTTCAGGCACTTGTTGGGTTTGATTTCATGATTATCGAGCTGTGGGATGAAGAGAAAAACAAACATATGCCAAATTTTGGTGAGTGAGCCACATCAACAAATTCAAAAAATAAAAAATAGGAGGGCCAAGATTCAATTTAAGGACCAACTGAAGATTGGACAATTTTGCACAACATACTACTGTACAGGCATGCTCTTCACTTCAAGCTTCTTAATTTTTGTAAACTGCAAACACGGTGTTTTCAGTGCATCCTGTAACAAATTTTCTTACACCTAACAATTTCCATTCCACTAACTTTTTTAAAACAAATCTACTGCAAAGTGATCACCAAATAGTACTACTGCTACAAGAAAACGCATTCCAAAAATTTTAAAAAATAAAATAAAGAAAGAAAAGAAAGAAAAAATAACTAAACTGCGACTTTGCTTCTGCGACAGAGCCAAAATATGAGTTTGAATTTCAAATAACTCCAAACAAAAAGTTTCTCCAGTCCCAATTTTGCCCACAGAGCAAAGAGGAGACCTGGAAGTAAAACTTATCCTACACCTTGAAAACATTAATATTAAATACAAACAATTACATTGAAAAACACTCTTAAAACATCACTCTGGCCATCACAGGTTCAAACTCACTGAGCTCTGCAGCTAAAAGCATTGCATATCTTTAAGATTTAGTGATTTATAAAATATTTGTGCCAATTATGGTCATCATTAGACCTGTGAAAATTCAGCATTTTTCTAGCTAAGAATATAATAAAAGCCTCAAGTTTAAGACCAAATCAAGTGAGTTTGGTACCAGAGAACACTTAAAATAGTAACAAAACCCACTAGCCTGGCTATTCATAGAGGGTATGTGATACTACTGCAGCACAGCCAACTAATATATGTGGCTTATCAATAAAATATAGTGTTTTACAATATATTTACCTCTTTCACAGCTGATTGAGCTGCTTCCCTCGTGGTGAATGTAATAAAAGCATAACCCCTGTTGAGGCCTGTCATAGGATCCATCATAAGCCGCAAATCCCATATAACTCCACATTTTTCAAAAAGTGGAATGAGTTCATCTTCATACATGTCCTTGGGAATTTTTCCACAAAATACCTACACCCAAATTTATTATTTACACTCTACACTAAGACAAATTAAGCAACTTTCTGAATGGTAGAAAAATTACCTCACACCCATTGCCTGGTGTGGGCCCTTCCCAATTTGGTGGGGGTCCTCCGTATTTTCTCTGCCCAGTTGTCACATCAAGTGTGTAACCAGTACGTTCCAAAATAGACTGGAAAGAAGAGTTTTGCATATAATGTAAGGATATGCCTTCTTAATACAGAATTTTGATTTGAATTGCTGGATTCCTATTAACTCACTTTAATTTTGTCTTCATCAGGGGCTTTGGCAACAGTACCAGACCCGGAGCCTTGGCCTGCTCTGCTTTTCTGCCTGTATGTTTTCATTACACCACACAGATATGCAGACTTATTAGAAACGTGCTCCAAATTGGAGTCAAGGAACTGAGTAAGAACGTTTAGAGCTCCGTCCACAGGAAATTCTTTTAACGCATCAAGAGCACGTTCATCTAAGTCAGCATGTGCAAGTTTTCCTACAACAGTACAATAACAAAGTTGTACATACTACTTGGGAAAAACATTTCCAGTGCAAATACAGTGGTACATCTGAACAAACGACCCTACCAAAAGGAATCTCTAGACAACATACCCGTTTTATAAATTTCATCGAGTTTCCCAGCAACCTTTTCATCTAATCCATATTCCACCAATTTTGCATAGTCTGCCGTATATTCTGTCTTTATATCCTGTGATTCTTCTTTGGGCTCCTCTTTAACTTGCAACTCCCCATTCCCTTCCGCCATTGCTAAAAACAAAAATATTACAGGAACACTAATGATGCCCGATAAGCTGCGTGCGAATACCGAAAATTAAGAATGTCAAGTACTAACGGTTTAGGTCACAAAAAATCGATTTCAATTAGAGTTGCAAAATTCACTTTACAAAACTAATGAAAGGTCTGGTACAATTCTTTTAATGACTAAACAAACATACTTCAATACTGCTAACTAAAAATCAACCAACTGACCAGAATTTAAATGGAATTTAACGATAATTTTTTTTTTTAATCTTAAGAGCTCATATCAGTCTTAAACCTTATTTCCGCTTAAAATTATATCCTTTAACCCACAGCACAGACTTGCAAATTTATAACATTCTTCGGGGAAGATCAGACTTGGATAAAATTTAAATAGGGACACAAATCAAATTCTCTTCACCGTTCTTCGTTTGTTGCAAGGGACCACCAAAATTATTTATTTCGTGATGCAAAACAAGTGAAAGTATACATTACTCCAAAAATATTCGCTTCGCGCTACAATACGGGGAGGTGATCATGAGTCATGGCCCACGAAATGAAGAGTCAACTTTCCTCGCAATACATGGAAACTTAACAGCCCATTCATAAATCTATGTACTAAGTTAACATTGAACACTTACATCCACTCACTACCACTTTCCACAACTGTATCCCACGGGGTATTCAATTATCAGTATCGCTAAAATGCAATCACGTGTTTTTAATGCACGCCCCGTTTGGCCTCCTGCTTGCGCCATGCAAATGCTAACGACCTGAATTCAACCAAAAATATAGTAAAGTTCACTAAGGTACAAAGCACAGCGATATTACTTTCAAATAATGAATGTCTCCGAGAACATCTTTGTTAACACACGATTATGGCGCAATGTAAACAAGAGAAAGAAGGCGCCAAGACAACTCCTTGGTTCTTCGAAGCAACAAAACACCGAACACAAATTTATTTCAATATAATAAATAAACGAAGTTTCCGAACAAATGCGAATAATATTGACGCGTACAATTGACCTCTGAGACTTAATACAATTAAATATGCAACGCAATCTTACTCACAAACACAAGCGAGTACTTCTGTTCCCCAACGCACCGGCCGGCAATGGGAGTCCTAAGGTCGCTTAAATCTTATTCATAAATTCAGCCTCTTACTTTACAATACACAACACCACAAAAACAAACTATACACAGGAGATCGCAACAAATTCAGCCTTCGTTCTTCGCACAGCACACCCGAAATAACGACCGTTTTCTATCCAAAATCAATATAAATTTACCTTCAAAATTTAGTAAACCGAGGATCCGTGAGGGAAATGGCGGCAGACAACGTCAACGTGATCACGTTTGCGAGGGGGCCACACAACGACGCGCAGGGATACTCTCCAACCCATACCTTGCATAACAGGACTTGCAGTTCGAATTTAGAAAAGAGGCTAAACCTCATTGGTCCATCTATTACTAGGCGGTTGTATGAATTCTCTGGGAATGTAATATCCAGCTAAATTTCAAGGACCCCCTAGCACTTCCTTCACGATAAGCGACTGGCAGTGCAAAAAAATAATGACAAGTATTAATCAAAATTTCAAAGATTCATGAATATTACTTTAAATTGATAAATTATAAATACTTACACAGTAAGCGATTTGTAGAGTTATTTGTGGTAGAATCGCATGTAATCAGAACCAAGGCATTTAAATAAATAATATAGAAAATGGACATTTGGAATTCATTTCATGATGCATTGAATTATAGAATGCAAAAGAAAAGGCTACAATACCGAGAATTGTATATCGCATTTCACTCTCTAAAGACTTGTAAGTACTTGAATGGTTCAACAACTATCAATCTACATACCTCCAATTCATCTGAAATTGCCAAACCTTTCTTGTTTTTTCTGTATTTGCGTTACTGTAATAATACACAGCGTGGGCAAATGGGTGTGGCAATTACAATACTGCAGGGTTATGGCTGGGTGACCTGTATTGTTATGGATGTGATTATGACGAAATGAAATAAATAAGTCCAATATTTGTTCATTTTTGTAAATATCTTTATATGAGTTCCCCACTTTTAGCCACAAATGAATTTATTATAATTATTTCCAATTATCACTAGTTGCACTAAAAAATAACAGGTTTGATGCATTGCTTGGTATAGTTTTTCTTTGTTTCAGTGGCATTTAAGGAATTGTTTTTTTGTTATGTTAAAGCCTCAAGGAATGTTCATCATATTTTAATCTAATATCTGAGCGTTTTTGTGAATTTCTTGTAGCTCATTAACAGGTGTGTTTGTAAATGTGGCAACAGTGCCGATGTAAACATCGAAGAGCTTTGTAATGCAATGTGTTAGTGTGGGCGATACAACTTTTTTCTTGGTGCTTGGACCTTATAAGGACAGTTTGAAACAAATAGAGTTATTGCAGATCCTCTGTCAAATGGAATTGGCATCGGTGATGTAGCTGTGGCAGCTAGCCGGTGCGTCGCATAGTTCCGACTCCACCTGTGGTCCCACCCACCTGCGAACAGGAAACTGATACAAGTGCAGTGTGTTATTTTTGCGTTTTTCGTGAACATTTATCACTTTTAGTGCAGAGACAAAGTTCTGTGAGGGACAAATTCGCAATGGGTAGCACAAGACCAAGACACGGGAGTCGGTATACTGTCAATATGAACATAAAGTGGAGTATATTCTTAAGTGTCAGTTTGTTTGTTGCACTTGTTTGTGGTCAATATGAGTGGCAAGTTCGAGATGCATTCGACGAAGTGCGTTTACGAATGGATAAAGTTACATCAGATAATTGCCCAATTCAACACCGACCAGATCTATACTTGCCCGAAGATTCAATATCCCATCTTCCTGATGTTAAAGACATAAATATAAATCCTGTATTTCCAAATAGAACTGCTTTATTGCATCTACATAACATGGCTATGAATCGTGCATTTTTTTGGAGCTACATATTGCAAGCAAGATTCATTCGACCTGCAATAAATGACACCTATGATCCAGGAATGATGTACTATTTTTTATCAACTGTTGCTGATGTATCAGCAAATCCTCACATAAATGCTAGTGCTATTTACTTTGCACCCAATTCCTCCTATACATCATCTTACAGAGGATTCTTTAATAAAACTATGCCACGATTTGCACCACGAACATTTAGGTTTGATTTTACATATTTTGAAATGTACAAAGTTGTCTTTTCCATAATTTATTATACATTATTGTCTTGATTTGATACAGGGCTGATGACTTCAATGATCCAATTCATTTGGAACGTATTTCCACTTTGAATACATTTACTGTGCAAGATTTAGGAGCAATTCCAAATGATAGTTTGAGTTTGGACTACACTTCTGATGCATACAGAATCAATGAATGGTTTGTACTTTTGTGTTATTATTATTTAGATATCCAAAATGTCTTAGTTCTTTGTCATGATTATTAATTTTTAGATACTTGGAAATGAAATTTCTAATTGAAAATTCACTTTTCTCAGTGAATATATTGTTATTTATTGCTCCTTTTTTTAATGCACTTTTATTCTCCTCATTTAATTTTTTCAAAAGTCTAGGACCTCAAATTACTGGTTTTTTTTTTTTTTTTTTTTTGCAGGTACAAGAAATGGCTTCCGGATTCTGCACCTGGAGAAAGAAGACACGATACAAAAACAACATACCAAGTAGAAATTCGATATGCTAACAATACAAATGAAACATTTACTTTCCATGGACCTCCCGGTAGGAATTGGTAACTCCTTGCTAAATTTTAAATTCTGAGACTGTTTTTCAATACATTAATATATTTTTAATGTGATAGGTGCTGATGAAATTCCGGGACCTGTTAAATGGACCAGACCGTATTTCGATTGTGGTCGCTCAAATAAATGGTTAGTGAGTGCAGTTGTGCCTATTGCAGATATTTATCCTCGCCACACTGGATTCCGTCATGTTGAATACCCAACGTAAGTAATTGAGTTCAAAGCTGAAGGAAGTGAATTCACAGAAGAGCAAAGAAAGTGCTTATTGTTAATTGTGTTAATTGTTCAGATATACTGCAGTTAGTGTTTTGGAGATGGACTTCGATCGTATTGATATAAACCAATGTCCTAAAGGGGAAGGTAATAGTGGGCCTAATCGATTTGCAGACACAGCTAGATGTAAAAAGGAAACAACAGAGGTAAGCTCCCATGGTAAATTTTTCACATCTTTTTTTTTAAGTTTTTGAAAAATTGAAATTCTGCCTTTTTACAGTGTGAACCAATTCATGGATGGGGATTTAGACGTGGAGGATACCAATGCCGATGTATTCCAGGCTATAGACTGCCCACAATTGTTCGGAGACCATTTTTAGGCGAAATAATTGAAAGGGCTACTTCTGAACAGTACTATAATGGATTTGACTGTATGAAAATTGGCTGTAAGTGAAGACTGTTTGTGAAGTTCTATGGCCATAAATATTTAAATAAAATCGTTTTTCAAAAATGAAAATTCTTTTGCAGGGATTCACAGATTACCCGTGCAGTGGGGAAAAGCAAAATCACATATTCGAGAAAAGTATCTTGACAAGTTTTATGAGTATCGCAATTACTCTACAGGTCCTGAATCTTTACATAGTGAAAATATTAATATTGATGAAGTAGTAAAATTCATTCGTTCTATAAATCCATCAACATGCAAACAGTATGTAATTTTGTAATGTACTGTATGAATTAATAATTATGTTACCTGTATTTTCATACAAAATTAATTATTTAGATACCGTCCTCAAGATTTAGTTCTTCGGGGAGATATTAGTTTTGGAGCTGACAAACAATTTGTGAATGAGGCCAAAATGGCAGTTCGCCTTGCCAATTTTATTAGTGCTTTTCTGCAGGTGGGTTTCCATAATGTGTGCATTTATGTATTGAAGTGAATTCCATAATTCAATTTCTGATATGTTTAGATTTCAGATCCTCGTGAAGTGTACTCTGGAAAGCGAGTTGCAGACAAGCCATTATCTGAAGATCAGATGATTGGAGAAACACTTGCTCTTGTTATGGGAGATACAAAAATCTGGTCTGCTGGTACATATTGGGATCGTAATAAATTTACTAACAGAACGTTATTTGCACCTTTTGCTTATAAGAAGGAACTAAATGTACGAAAGTTCAAAGTTGAAGACCTTGCTAGATTAAATTCAACTGGTTAGTGCAAATTTATTTTTCAATTATTGTAAGGTACCAAACTCTGACTGTTTTGGCATAATTGTGCCAAATTACTCTTAAAACTTTGTTCTATTAATTTTGTATTCGTGTTTTTGTGCATTAAATTGTTGTGGACTGTTGCAGAGGAAGTGTATACAAATAAGCCATGGTTTCAATTTTTAAAGCAAAGATGGTCAACTAATTTTGATTCTCTTGAAAAGTTTTACATGAAAATAAAAATTAGATTTAATGAAACTGGAGAAACACTCAAGAAATACGAACACTATCCCAATTTTTACAGGTAAAGACTTAAAATCCCATTGTATGAAATCGATATTGTTTAACACGATAAGTACATTTTACAAGTTGAATGTAAGTTGTGATTGGATTATAATAAAAATTTTGTTACTCCAATCTGACAGAATAAATAAATGTATTTTTTAAACCCTTACCTCGAGATATAGATATTTAGTAGTGTTTCACAAAAAGATTCTTTAGAAAACTTTCAGATGATATTAATAAAAAAAATGCTATTTGCCCTGAATTATTGTGTCAATAACTTCCAATTAATATCAGTTTTATGTTTGTATAATGTGTATCAATTACTTCAGTGATTTAAATTATATTTATGAAGCACACTGCAGTTTAATATGTATCAATTTCATAATTCATTTTACTTGCTTATTCTCTAAAAATTCATTGAACTTAGTCATGCTACAGCCATATACTACGTGAAACAATATTTTTGGTTAAAATTTTATTTCAGGGCAGGCAATCTTGATCATGGTTACTGGACAACACCATATTTTGATTGTGATGGAAAAGTACCCATGTGGGCCATTACGTATGCTGCTCCTTTCTTTGGTTGGGATAGCCTTAAAGCTAAATTAGAATTCAAGTAAGTGCAATTAAGGGTAAGGTTGAAAATTTCATTGATTTTCTTACAAAATGCAGAACTCCTAAAAACATTTTTTTTTTATTACAGAGGAGTTGTGGCAGTGACAATGGATTTGCTGAAATTGGATATCAATCAATGTCCAGATAAATTTTATGTTCCAAATGCTTTTAAAGACACTCACAAATGTGATAAGAAGACATCTTACGTAAGTCACTGTGTAATTTTCTTTTCTTTCAAAGTTATTTATTATTTGGGCCCCTCTGGAAAGTAATGATGTAATTGAATTTAATATTAAGAATCGCTGTACCAAATTTTGGAACACTGTAGTAAATTTCTCAATTTGAGCTGGAGTGACATAGTGAGGTGCTGAAAATATTATGTAACTAGTTTACACATGTGAGAACTTTCACAATTGGATATCCTACTCCACCTTTCCCACCTTATCTGTAAGAAAGAGACAGGATCAAGTTAGAAAAGTGTTTTAATAGTATTTGAGATGCTACTCACCCCCACCTATTCCAGAAATTGGGAACACCCATGAAAAGGCAAACCTCGAAATATGTTTTAGAAGGCCCCAGAAGATATCATTTTGTTCAGTTTGTCACCTCATAAAATTCATTATTCTGTTATCTCCTTTGGTAAAGGGCTGATTGGATGTAAGAGCTGCAAAAGATATTTATATTACAGAAATTATATAGGTGATTTTGTAGCTATTTATTCATTTTTTGGAAGTTAATGTACATTAGTTCAGAGTAAAAACATTTTTTTTATTTATTTCATGAGCATGTGGTATAATTTGTAAAAAAAATATTATATAATTATATTAATTATTATTCAGGTAAAAATGAGAGATGTTTTAAGCAGATTATCATATATGTATCATTTCAATTAGTGCAAATGGCTGTGGGTGCAACTGCTTGATTTTTAGAGTAGTGGTTTTGGATTGTACACGAGGTGTAGATATTTTCACTTTTTTAAGTGTCAAGTAAGGTGAAGGGATCATGCATTCTTTTGATTTCATCTAAATTGTCATTATATTGTAACAGTGAGGCAGGAAATCATTTTGTGGTACTTTGTTGCCAGCGTTCCGCCCTGCATCGAAGTGGCACCCAGAAAGAACTATACCCGTTATTATTCTTTTTGCTTTGCTTTGAAATTTACATTGGATTCATTGATATTGTTATTGTTTTCATTTTAACATTGAAAATGGGATGATATTACAATAATAGATGAAGATAGTGAAGTAATGTTGTGATTAATTTTTTCCAGTGTGTTCCAATTCTTGGTCGTGAGTTCGAAACAGGAGGATACAAGTGTGAATGCCTCCAAGGTTATGAATATCCATTTGAAAACCCAATAACTTACTTTGATGGACAGCTTGTCGAGGCAGAATTTTCAAATATAGTGCAAGACAAAGAGACAAGGTAGCGAATGTTTTCAGTATGTTCACTTGAGTATTTGTTTGCATATGTTTTAACTTTGATCCGTTTGTGTACAATTCTTTTTCAGATATGACATGTTCAAATGTCGTCTAGCTGGAGCTGCAAGTGTGCAGAGTAATTTAGTAATTTTATTTAGTATGATATTAACACTCTGGATGCTACATAAATGAGTATTTTTTTTCATTTTTGCTAATATGTTGTACATCCAAGAGTCATTTTCCAGAGAAAATTCTGACTGTTTATAGAGTATGTTTTATACAAGAAATATTCCTTATGCTAAATTTTTTTAAATGTGTCTGAAAAGGTAATGAGTGTTTTTGTGCATGAAAGTGGCTGCATTATGTTTCAAGTAATATCAATTTAAACATATTCTATGTTCAGTTTTCCTATATCTAATATATCACATTATAAAAATCATCTTTGATTTGCATAAAAAACTTGAATCTAGCTTGGAAGATATTTAAAGCATTCGAATTGAATATAAATAGTACTTGTTTACAACAGGACGTATTCAGTAATGATAAAATTGTCTGAGTAAAACCGTGCTTATTCTGAACTTCAGCCAAGGCAAGGAATCACAAGAATGATGCTGTAAAAGTTACTCCTGAATTGTTGATCGGGTAACTAGAAGGATTGGTGTAAAAGTTTACAACTCATTATCATATTCTTCTCATTTTCTGATTATTTCTACAAATGGCCAGTGAATCAGTGCATTGGGCTTTTCAAGTTAATGAATTAGGAATTTCTGTCTGCCAAGACAGAATGTTGATTTTATGTTTTACGTTGTATATCAATATTTGTAAGGGTTTATTACATTCTTACTATCCTACATTCCTTCCTAAGTATTCATAATTCATTTTGATGTTCTTTTACCAAATGAAAGAATGTATATGTTCATGCATTTAGCATCTTTTGCTCAGTTAGCTTTTAATTTATAAAATACTCTCATTAAATCCATTTTAAGATCTGAACTTTGATACATGAATCTTCAACAAGCTGGAGAACTAGGCTTGAATTTAGAAGAGGAAGAGTGTTTACAGGCAATATTATCTTGACTTAATTAAATGATAAAGAAGATCTTATATTTTTATTAGTATTGCAGTAATCTAGTCTGGCTGTTATTTTAAATCTTTATTTCATTTTTATTATCTTGGTATTTCAAGGATGAATACTCACGAGTCAAGATATTTGTGTCAGTTGAAGCATTAAGACAACATTCTATGGAATAAAGTGTAGAGTACTAGTGTCTGTCTCTAGAGGAATATATTTAAATATTTTAAAAATTACAAAATAGGCTACTAAACATCATCTCAGATCTTGAGCTACTCACTAAAAAATTCATTTCTAGTGTTACAATTGTACAGGAAGGTACTGTTTTGTTGTGTGTGAACTTTTCATATTTTTTGTGCATTTATATACTTGCAAGGAACTTTTTAGTGAAGTAGGTCAAGATCTGAGATGAGATTTTCTTGGCTGCCCGGGTGACGCCGCATCCATGGTGAAGGTGCCGACGTTTCGGTCGCTATTTTGCGACCTTCCTCAGAGCGTAATGCTAACGAAATGCATTACACCCTGAGGAAGGTTGCAGAATGGTGACCGAAACCGCCATGGCGTCACCCGGACAGCAAAGTAAATACTGACTCCGACCACGGAAGCCTACGCTCTCATCTGAGATGATATTTGGTTGCATTTTTTGTTTTTATACATTTTGAGTTTTCATCCAAAAACACAATGGTGGTTTGCAAATCATTTGCAAACGATTTTACCCCTTTTCTTTGCGGTGTTTTTTGTCTTGCTGTAATCAAGAACATAAACTTAAAGTTCTATTGAATGTTATCAAAATTGCATGTATAGTCTGTGATAGAATGTAATGATTACTTTTGAACTCAGGATTTTGAGTGCTTTGTGTGTGGCATCCTAGGTTCTAAGTAATCGAGATTTGGAAAGAAAGGAAAAAGTATTTCTTCCTGATTAAATCAATTGTTTGCTATCCATGTATTATGGTATGAAGAACAGTGATGAGATACCTCGTAACATGTATGTTTCTTATTTGATCTACATGTCAAAGACATGCTTATTGCATGTATGAATTTACACACAAAAAATCAGTGTATATCACATGTAATTGAAATTCTCACAAGACCTTGTAGAAAATTGTTTTAAGGAAGTTGTCATTAACAATGTTAGAGAATCACTATCACCATTTCAAAGGGCACTAAGCATGAATCAACATCATTCATATATTATACCTACAAAATCCCCCTTCTAAGCAAGACTTTTAATACATACTTCGTTCAGATGTTTTTCCATCAATAAGACTGTTAAATCAACCTTTATCTAATAATTCAGGTTTTCTTTTTAAATATGTTCCCATCACATGAAGAGAATTCTGTAATGTTTAGTGTATTTTTACTACAGCATTTTTGGATGATTGTATTTTTATATAACACAAATGGTTTTGCTCTTGTGAAGTTTGAAACATTCTCTTAGTAGGTGTTATTGGTTCAAAAACAATCAATAATCTCATCCATGAAATAAGTTATTTTTTAAACTTATTTCAGGAATATATATGTATTATTCTTTTATATTTGATATATTTTATAGTGTATCAGTGCAAATGTGCATGAGAATGGATATGAACGTTCTTATCAAGTAATTCCCATACTGTTTTGCAAGACAGTGAAAAACTTCAATGTGTCTCCGTCCACTAATAAAAGCAGCTGAGTTTCCTTCCGTCCATTTCTGCAGCTGGTTATTTTACAAAAAATTATTTTACTTGTTCTGTTGTATTGTTGAAAATTTATGGAGAGAAATGTTGATTTTTTATAAGGTTTTACTTTTGGAGATGTCATTTCTAATATTAAGTTGAAATATTAATAAATATGTTCCATTATTTACTATCAGATCAAATATACTATTTTAACTTAATTTTGTAATGAAGATGCATTTTTCAACCTAAAATTTAATACAGTGATTGAAATAAATGCAGCTGTAAAACATAATGTATAATTGATAGTACAAATAAAAACTTTTCTAAATCCTGTGTTCCTCTTTATCTTGTATGATAGATTACAAATTGTATCCATAAACCATTGGCCCAATTACCTCAATTTTGGAAGTGCTTTGCTATGATAAATGTCCCTAGCTATTGAAAGTTCATTTGCACTTCAAAAGTAAGCTGGACAATTGAACTACTGAAACTCAAATTAAGAAACAAAGTGAATTAGTGCAATGAATAGAAAAAGAGCAGTAACAGTAATAAGCCCTAAGATTCTTTTCCAAGTTGATATCTCCCATTTATAATCAGAATTTTATAAATTATTTTTTGTATTGATACAGAGAAAACTGTGTATATAAAACATATGCAAAAGGTATTCTTTACAAACAGGACAAGTGAAGCAAAATGAAAGCAGAACAAACAACTAATTAAATTATGGAATAACAACACTTAATAATGGTTTGAATCAATTATCAAACTTACCATTTTGTTTCACTAAAGAAATTATGTTTACATTAAGGAATGGTTCAACACATTTTAATACTAAAATTACATTCGCAAGTAAGTCAAATTCATTTCAAAATCGAGCTGAGCATTTCACACTTCCTGTATATAATTTGTTTCATTGAATAAATTAGTTACTACAATGCAAAACTGATGAGAAAATGAATGCTTTATTTTTGTAATTAAAGAAAAAACGTTTCATGTCATTTAATTCTCAGATTAGAATCACAGCTTCTTCAGAACCTTGTTTTCGATCACTACACTACACTTTGGAAACTACTGAATTTGGCTTCTCACAACTGTCAAACTTTCTTAATTTGCATTCACACTTTCAATTTTCCTTTAGGTAGAATGTGGAACATTTTGAGTTCAGTTTATTCATTGCATTCTAACTAAAACAGACAAAATGGCTATTACAAGCATATGATATTCATAAATACCTTAAAATGGTAAAATTCAGTGGAAAAAGAAATATAACCACACAGATAGCACTATAAACAATAAAATAAAATAGACAGATAACAAAACACACACATAAATTTTAGAAAAAATTATCAATGCATCAACAACTGTCATTGTTTAACATTATAATTTAGGTCATGTCTACTCTTGGTTGCAAAATAGAAAAATGTTCCCATGGAAACAAAATGTTTTCATGTTAAGTTTCATTATTGTAAAAGAAATGAATATTAGGAAAATTGCTGCCATTTAAAATAATTAGGAAACTGTTACTTGTTTGAGAATTCCAGCATTTGCATTGTATTTAATGAGCTTACATGATATATTTCATAGTTACATTGCAGTTGCATTTCATTTAATTTATTGGAAATCAACAATACACATGTTTTGTACAGCAATAGCAAATATACAAAATTACCAATGTATGGCTGTCAATCAAATCAATCAATTTTTTTTATTTACCTTGAAGGAAGAAGGGACTGGTTTCACAAACAAATAAAAATTATATCAATAATTCTTGAAAATTTAATGCCCATTATCTGGAAGTTATGTACATATTGTAATTTCTAAAAGTTTTAACACTATCAAAAACAACATATCAGAGTAATATTCAACATCCTATTGTAAAAATAGACCTTCAAATTTGATTAATAACTAGAGTATCAAACTAAGGTAAACACTCATGAAGCAATTGCTTTATCCTTCTGAATGTAATTATAATTTATAAATCTAGTTCCCTGGACAAGTTGAGCAGAAGTATTTGTAAAATGGCAAGCAAATAGCAATAAGTTTCGTGGTTGCACCTTCCATGCAAATCTCATGAACATACACGAGTACAATGTCAATGCTAGAACAAACAGAAAGCACAAAACAAGTCATATCATATGAATTTTGTTATATCTTAAATGACATTAACCTTATTTTTAAAATGTTTATGCTTCAATATATGCAACAGTTAAGAAACATGTCATAAGTATATACACAATTTGAATAGAAAATATTTTCTCCTTCCACTACTTAATTAATCCAAATAAATGAAAATGTAGAATATTAAAAGAATTAGAAAATCCATTAAACCTGTGGTCATTTTTCCACTAATCATTTCAGGAGATTTTTGTGTATCAGCAATGGCAGCAAGTGGAATTCCCCAATTTGCAATAGGTCCCCAAAAATGTGTACTGAAAAAAGAAATGGGCATTCATTGATTTGTTACACTTGCTTGGAGAACAGTGTCTCTATCTTTCTGATGTTCATTCATATTAATTTCTCTTATACATGTATTATGGATTCGCAAAATTATCGAATGGTATCTGAAAATACAGAAGCTAATGTCATCTCTCAGGGGCCAAAACACTGTTCTCATTCGCCTTCGTTCTTGGCGACTGACTAATATTGTTATTTTGTTGTGTGTTTGTTTTTTTGCGAGATTTTTACACCAAGTCCGCAAACAAATATATGTTTTACAAACAAATATGCATGTACTAGAAAAGTAAATCTTACCTCATAAGATAATCACGAAACTCTTTGCTTTTAAGATGATCTATTCCTTTTTGCATTAATCGAGCTGCCATCTTTTCAGGTACTTTCGAAATGGTTTTAAAAGCTAAAAAAATCTTAAAATATACACAGATAAAACGAAATAACGAGCTTCCAGTGAATACACTTAATTATCTACAAGCTGCCATATGGAAGCAGCTGATTACGGCACTACCACCTTATGGATGTTACATGTCATTCTTCAGTCACTTCGAAATATGTTTTTCATTCACAAGTTCGAATGTACCAAGAAATACTGGTCTTCAGTAACACGGAAACATTTCGTTGCATCTCAGGATTAAATGAGCTGAAAGTCGAGATTAGTTCTTAAGTTTTCATAAAACTGGAATGTTCTGTTGTGCTTATACTGACTCATTATTGTCTGCTTGATTTGCGCACGTGGAACACACGAAACAGACACTTTGAGTTATCGATGTCCGGCGTGAACACTACTAGCATCTATCAGGGTCGTGTGATGTAGTAGGTCTCTGAGCGTTTGTTTTCCATGCCAGTGCCATGTGCACACAATGTGCAACATCCTTGAAGTTTGGTCTGTATGCGAAAGACGAGTCAAACAGCGCGGGCGATTGAATCATGCCTCGCGTTCCTTCGCGAACATGACAAGGGGAGAAGACAAGATGAGGAGAAGGGCCGGCCGGCCAATGACTTTTCGATGTCGCAAATGAGCGCATCTTCGCAAGTCACAGCGCTCTCTCCTAACTCGCGGCGTCCGTGAGGCAACGAGGCAAGGACGACGTGTCCATCGCCGCCACAGAGAGGGGTGAAAAGTGAAAACGTAGAAGCGAGTTGAGGCAGTTATCTGTAATTAACCCACATCCTCACCTACTGACCGTCTGCTCCCGCGGACTTCTCTTGCTTATGCTCCTTCATCGTTGCGCAACCTTTTTTTACACCTCAAACAACGACGGGGATTTCCTTCTTCGTCTCTCCCAAGCCTGGATTTCACTTTCACCAGCGGCGGCGTCTCCCGACTTTAACATGCTCTTTTTGGAACGTTTTCCGACCTCGCGTAGCAAGTACCCCTGTCGGCTCGGCGCGGCGGGCGGATTTGAAAGCGGGTACGTGCGATGTTCCCACACATCACGAGGAGTCGTTGGCTGGCGTGCGGGGAGTGGAGGAGGGGACGGGCCGATGCGTTCGGAGGTGAGCTGGCGAGCAGAGGTCGCCGGGCGAGGGAAAGGCGCGAGTCAGACTCCTTTCTAAAGGAGTTTCGCAATGCATAATGCAGCTCGTCTTTCTCTGTTTCAAAAATGCTAAAGAAGAGCTTGCGAATGTGGGTCGCAGGGCGCGAAGCCTGAAGCTCACGGAGCCGGGAAGGAAAGAGTGTGTACATTTTCAGGCCTGTTTCTTTTTCTTTTTTTTTCTTTTTTTTTTCTTTTTTGTTTTTGTTTCTGGGAGATGAAGCAGGTAAAGTGGTACGAATAGACAACAACAGTTTTAACGGTGGCGAATGTATTTTTTATTTTTCTAATCTTTTCCTATAAAAAGCTTTATACAAGTAAAAAAAAGTTTGTTTCCAACAACTCTTCGTTGCTTAGCTTACATTGTATAAAAAAAAACATGTATTAAATCTCTGACCCGTTTGCTCCAATGTCTTTTCTTCAGCTCTCCGTGATCTTGATGTTCTTCGGGTTGACGATGGTAAGTGTCTGTGGCTTCGTGTTTAAAGTTCTTTAGTTTCTCCGCCGATCTCACTAGGCGAATGTGATGGGGAGGGGTGGCGCTGGGGGCGAAGCGGGAGGCCGCCCCGAGAAGAGGGGCGGCGGAGTGGCGAGGGGGGCCGTGCCCGGGCGAGCGGCGGACCCGGGCGCGGAGGGCGGCCCGCGTTCCGCCCGCGCCTAAAGGACGTGGGAAGGGATGGGCGTCTTAGTAGGACGGGGCGCCGTAGGACGATGACGGGGCGCCGTAGGATTGAGCGGGAGCGTAGTTGTAGCCACCACCGCTGCCGTATGTGGTCTGCCTGTACTGGGCCACCTGGATGGCCTGCTGGGTGTTACCCAGCTCGATGCCGACGACACGGTAGTGCGTGGAGGGCACGCCGTACTGGGTGGACGGGACGCCGTACTGCGTGGACGGCGCGCCGTAGCTGCTGGAGATGCCGCCGCCACCGCCTCCGCCGGACGCCGCGGCGTTGGCCTCCTCGCGGAGCAAGATCTGGCGGATCTTCTGCAGCAGCTCGGCGTCGACGTACTGGCCCTCGCTGGTGGAGTAGCCCACGGCCTCCTGCACGTAGCCGCCGCCGCCACCGCCGAAGCCGCCGCCGCCGCTGTAGCCACCGCCACCGAAGCCGCCGCCGCCGCTGTAGCCGCCGGACGGTCTCGAGTAGCTGTAGCCGCTGGGCGGTTCCGCGGTGGCGCAGGCTGCCAACGCAGCCACTACGCACTGCCAAAGAAAGAAATCCGTTAGTGTTGCGCCCGAGGGAAAAACCTCAGCTCGAGGCACGCCCGGCTCCGCTACACACCCAAGCTCTTTTCGTTCGACTCTGCGCAAGTCTTTCCCTTCTGCTGGGCGTTCTTTTCTGAGTCGCGACTCAGAAGCGACCCCAGAGCATTTTAAAGTGCAAAAGCACATTCAATGCGCTTAGGGAAGATATGTGTCTTAAGTTGAACTCAAATAGCATCTAGGGATCTGAGTTGGAAATAACCCTACAACCATTCCCATTGATGTCTATCGCCGAAAATGCGATGTTATCTTTAGATCATTTTAGTCTTAAAGAAGATTCAGTCTTCCTTCTAAAGTAAAGTCCTGCGTTTTAGTTCAAGGAACGGTAAGACACGTTCCCTCGAAAAAAAGACGACATTTTATTCGTTATGCGTTCTTGTGTCAAAGAACCAGATCTGACGTGATATATTTGGAAGACCAAGTAAATTTGACTGAGACTGAATGTTCCAGAAGTGTGTCATAAAATTATTGTCCTTATTTATTACCCCCTGTCCTTAATTATGGTCCTCTTCATTACCGAGAATCTGTAAAATTTTATAGCTTGTAGGCGAAACAATTTTCATGAGATTCTTAAAATTTAAAGGACTACTGTTGTAGTTTACTAGCTCAATGTTTTCCTCGGTCATATTCATGAAGTATTCCAAGTTATAATTTTTGTTACCAGACTGCTTTTTGACAGAAGAGAAGATTCAATATTGACAAAACTTGCTGTCATCGCACAAGTCGAAGTGAATGTTGAATAAAACATGACGCGTAAGTTTCCTTTTCCTTAAAGAACATTTTCATTTTTGCTATATTATTAGAATGTGACATTTTTAATCTATTTTTTCATTCCTTTACCATGTTAACATTTACTTATATTTCAGTTCCAATTATAGGATCATAGAATTCTGACAATGAACGTCTTTCCTTCGTCTTAGAATTTAGAGTTTACGAACATGTTTGATTTATCAAGTCGAGAAAATATCGTCTCTTGCAATTTAAATTTGCAACAACTTAACCTGCAACCTGTACCCTCCGAGAATCCGAAAGAGATGCTTGTATTCAAGCATGGGCAGTCCGGTTGCTACGGCCTGAACGCGGCACAAGTCCGAAAGAGCACACTTCTTCGGAAGAATTTTGTTCACAAGTGCACCGCAGCAGCTTCTTCGGCGAAGCGAACCGAAGACCCCACGGGAGGGCGGATCGAGGCGAGGCGAGGCGAGGCGAAACAAGAGTTCCCCGAGACCCCAGCCCGAGTCTCCGGAGGAGCCCCGGCTCGGGGGTTCACTGATCACTGGGCGGCGCGGGCCGGCGCGGCGGGTCGCCCAGCCGCTGCTCCGCACTCGCCGTTGCTTACCAGTGCGAGGGTCTTCATGGTGCTTGGTCTCGCTCCGGGTGGATGCTACGGAGAGCTGTGAAGCCAACTGATGCTTCCAGAAGCCCACGCGGGCCTTTTATATCAAAATCTGTTTTGGTGACGTCACCGCCAGGGGAAATGTGCGGCGCCGCGCGGGAGCCTGTTGGGAGTTGTTCGGCGCCGGGGAGAGATGGTAAGCGCTCGTGGGAGGGGATGGCTGGCCGCGCTTCCTACACCTCCCGCTGCCATCTCGCCGAGGGAGACAGAGAGAGAGAGAGAGCGAAAGACAGAAGAGGAGGAGGAGGAGGAGGTGGTGGTGGGAGAGAATGAAAGAAAAAGTGGAACTCTTGTACCGGCTCCATGGAAAGTAGGATTCTCCTCTCCATATGCCGCAGCCAGGAGAGCGGCGCCGCGCCGCCGCCGCCGCCGCCGTCGCCGCCGGGGCCCGCCGGGGGTGATGGGGCCGCGCGGGGTCGAATCGACAGGCGCAAGGGCACCCCCGACCTCCGCGATGCCACATCGCAACCTGTGCAGCGCGTGGAGATCCCAACGGGGGGAAGAGCGCGCAACCCAGGACTTAGGACTCGCACTCGCATGATCAATGAAATTCCCGATAAATTGGACTGTACTTGCCGCAGACGAGTTGGTTCTACCCAGTGCCAGAGCTAGACAATTTCGGACCTCAGGCAAAACTGAAATTCAGAACCCTCCAGAAAATTCAGGGGGAAAAATAAAATTCGAAAAATGTATGTGCAGATATACGCTATAGTTTTAATGAAAGTGCTATGAAATATTGACTAACAAATTTAGTAAAGATCTCAAATTAATTGATATATTTTTACTTTTACAGACTAATTTACCGCGACGTATAAAATCGTGGTAATAATGTTTTTAAATTCAATTTTCGTAATTTTAATTTTTCGTATCTCCCTTTTTCAAATCCCTTGACTCTCAGAGATCCGTTCTGCCGCGATTGTCCGTTCAGCCCATGACAGCGCTGATAGATGACTATTGGTTATAATAAGGAGTCAATGAGAAAAGTTCAGAATGTACCATCCTGAAACAGTAAATAAAAGGATGAACGCATTATTCAATTAAATAAAGTATATTTCTAACGTCACATTATTTTTGAATAATTTATCAACAGCTGTATGCAACGACTACTCTGAGTTCTGTCATAAATACTAGCATGTAAGCTTCTGGTGTTTCCAAGTATGTACACTTTATAAATAACTACTACAGGATAAATCCAGGTGCCAGAATGCTTGTTTCTTTCATTAATCATATTTGTTTCTCTCGGGTTCATCGATTGTACTTTCCTTGGCAGGGGAATTTGAGGAGATACGAAGAAATGACAAACGATTACACACTATCAACAAATGTAAGTTAAAAAGTCACAATGTTGTTTTTGATCCGGCCAGGTTTTGATTTTCATCATCATCATAATTTTCATCATAGTTATTAACAGATAAGGTTTAATACAATTAATAGATAAAGTGTTCGTGATTTCTTCCTTTCAGGTCAATAATTTCTTAGTTATTAAGGTATTCCTGAACTTAATTCTATCACATTCTCAAAATACTTCAGTGGATTTTTTGTAAATATTTCATTTCCTGACATAGGAACGGTCCTGAGTGGATTTATTAGAATTAATAATTAGTGAAAACATTTCGAACACACATAAAAGTAGGCGCCTATTGTTCACCCTGAAAAAAATAAATTATGTTTACAGCAAGC